GATAAAAATGCATTTGAAGGTGTTTGGGACAAAGATGGAGCTCCTAGGCATCAAACCGCGGTGCCTAGGTGCTGGCCAACAAAAGGAGGAACAGCCCAGCCCCATGGCGCCTAGGCGCCATCGTTCGGCCATAATTGGACTTTTATTGCAATTCTTGTATTCTACTTCATTCAAAACTTGAAAATTGGACTCCTACATATACTCCACATGGTTTAGGCTCTTCATAAGACTTGAGTAACATATCAAAACATTGTATAGCATTGAGAAAGCATCAAAGTAAACGAATCTTGTTTAAACAATGAGACTCGCATATTTTGAGATAGGTTGAGAGTCTTACTAGATCTTTCCATACTTCTTTGCTATTCATTTTAGTGAATTCTCCATCTCTACTCATGGATATCTTAGATTTGGATTTTTTTCGTTAAATCTTGTGCTCTTGTATGATTCTGTTTTATCTTGTCATATTTATTTTCTTTAGTATTCATAACAAGTAGTATAAGTTTTATCACCGGACTATTGCAAATTGGTTTATTTTACAACATGGACCATCCATCAAAAGGTCCATAATTCAGTTAAAATAGATGAGTAACAATTAAAATATGTAATTGAAATTAATATTTGACAATCATTAAATAGAAAAATTAACTTCCAATGTTTTTAGCTGAGGTTTATTCATCTGAAATCCGAGTGAACCATAACTGGTTTGGCTGATTCATTTTCAATTTTCCATTTATTCAAATAAAAATGACCACTCTAATTCAACCCTTTGTCATTCTTCACCCTTTTTGATCATATTTTGGAGAATTTTCAAAATACTGAAATTTGAAGTTAGTGCCTCGACCAAAGTAAATTACTGATTAATTATTTAATGACTTCTAACTGGGAACTGACACGTCACAAGCCAAAGTAAATGGCAAGTATGACGAGTTTTAATTCTATGAACAATGATATCTAACATCAACAATGTTTAACATCAATTTATAAAATTATATATCCAATTAAAAGATATAAAGCTGATTTAACAGAACCTTATGAAGAATTCGTGGAGAGATTCATGAACCAGTAGCTGTCTACCCCTTACTCAGCTCCCACTATAACTCCAATCCAACTCGAGTTTACTGTAGATTAAAAATGGCAACTATGTCCTCGTCTAAATAGAATGTATTCGATAAGTTAATCTGAACGAGATCTCAAGCATATTTAAATATCACGAGATATATACAATATTCGTCATATATCGTGATCGTTTATGCACCCTCTTGTACAGAACTTGCCATACCCGACCAATGTATTTATCCAAGGCTCATTAGCAGACACACAACATTAACTTATTGCATTTACAAAGATTCAAGCACAAAATATCGAGGACTTCCATATTCATCTCCAAGTGCCCACTCAACCTTAAATTTCCAAGTAGAAGACGTATTCGATAAGTTAATCTGAACGAGATCTCAAGCATATTTAAATATCACGAGATATATACAATATTCGTCATATATCGTGATCGTTTATGCACCCTCTTGTACAGAACTTGCCATACCCGACCAATGTATTTATCCAAGGCTCATTAGCAGACACACAACATTAACTTATTGCATTTACAAAGATTCAAGCACAAAATATCGAGGACTTCCATATTCATCTCCAAGTGCCCACTCAACCTTAAATTTCCAAGTAGAAAAAAAAAAAAAAAAAAAAACCGAAAAGGCTTCCAGACTTCCAGTCGAAATTCCGCTGTTAATTAAACGAACTGCTAAAACAGGACAGTAATTCAGTATGCATATCTAGTCTAGACAATAAACTAAATGACATTTGTTCAAACATGAAGAGAGTCTAAATTACGGGGTACTTTTAAAATTAACCTGGTCAAATCATCCAAATTTCACATTGATTTCTCAACAAAGGTATATTATGAAAATGGCCTATCCAATGTTAAAAAACAAAAATACCCTTAAATACATTATACAATTACAAAAGTTGATTTTTTTAAAAGACATGAATACCCTTTCACTTAACAAATAAAAATCAAACACTTCCTACATTTCTTATCTATATACTCCAACACAGATAAATAAAACACTCTCACCCTTCATCTGCTTCAACTGCAGAAACTTAAAAATTTATCGAAATCGAAAGTCAAAAAATTTGTGGACATCAATCTCGTCGGTTCGGTAAGTTTATATAAGCAAATTTAATCTTGTTTTTGTTAAATTATTGTATGTTTAAATCGATAACTTGTATTTCGACATTTAATGATTAGTAGGGAAAAAAATGTAATAGATCTGTAATTTTTTAAGTATTTGACCGGAAAAAATTCATCTGCATATTATTATGTCGGCGCCGGTGAATCGAATGTTTGATCGGCTGTTAAAAAGCTGGTCAAACAGCCGGCCAAACAGTCGAAAAACAGTCGTCTGTTTGACCGACTATTTGTCGACTGTTTGAACAGCCGGCCAGCTGTTTGCCAACTGTTTTCTTTTTTTCCCCGTTTTTGGATTATTTTTATTGCTGTTAATATTTTTCTTGTAATTAAAAATTCTGTTTCGACATGCAAATATGGTCGTAGTCCCAGTTTGTTACTTTGGTGATTTTGAATTGGACGAAAAAGATCAATGGGTATGGAAATAGACAAGTGATAAATGTGGTGGTATCGCAATTTCCATATCATCAGGTACATCGTATGCAGAACTCCATAATGATTTACAGAATAAGTTGAATGTTGATCCTTCTCAGTACAACATGGAATTAAAATTTAAATTCAGCGAGCATGCATCAGTTCCGATTCCACCTATAATGATTTCTTCTGTTGATGAAGTGAATTATCTGATTGAACTAAACAATAAGTAAGGAAAGATGTCATCGATGATGTACAAGTAGATTCGGGAGGTGGGGATCATAATGCTAATAATTTTTGGGATACGGTGGAGATAGCTCGTAAAGATTATGTGGTTATTCCAGAGATAGTTGCACACAGAATCCAATCCGCTGCTCGTGACAACGAGAATGAAAATGCAAATACTTTTACAAACGAGGACTTGATTGGTTTATCCCGGCAGAGACATGAGTGGGGTGGCACCTCGGGGGCTAGATCGAGTGGACCGTCCTCTAACTCCTCACGTGTGGTTCTTGATAATAAGGATTTGTATGTCGAGCAACTGTTTGAAACAAAGAAAGATTTGCAAGAAACCGTGCACCAACTGCACTGAAATACAACTTCGAGTTTAGAGTGAAAAAATCGAATAGGTCATTATTGACGCTATCATGCGTAAATAATAGTTGCAGTTGGCGTTTGCGAGCAACGAAGATGGGCACGAATGAGTGCTTCATAATTTGTAAAAATACACGAGAACATACTTGTGAAATGAGAGTTTGTCGCAATGATCACAGGCAAGCCCGAGTTTGGTTTATTGGTCGACAAATAATGCACAAGTATCAGGATCCACGGACAATCTACAGACCATCGGACATTATTACCGATGTTCATCGAGAGTACGGAGTAGTCATGAGCTACCAGAAGGCCTGAAAGGCCAAAAAATATGCATTGCAGGATTTAATGGGCTCGACAGAGGAAAGCTATGCTAAATTGACCAGGTATTGTCATAACATAGAGAAAACTAATCCCCGCTCGACATTTTTTATTGAGACGGAGGCCGATAACTGCTTCAAATTCTTCTTTATGGCTCTTGAACAATGCATTCGGAGATTTCGAAATGCTATGCGACCCCTAATTCTAGTCGACGGTACAACTCTGAAATCCAAATACCAAGGCCAGTTGATTATTGCTACATGTCAAGATGCCAACATTCAAATTTATCCTTTTGCATTCGGCATAGTTGATAACGAGAATGATCTGTCAATGCGTTGGTTATTTACAAAGCTAAGAGAAGTAATCGGAGAAGTCGAGGACCTTGAATTTGTCACCGATCGGGGACAGTCTATAATAAATGGTATTGCTGAAGTTTTTCCCGATGCACATCATGGGTATTGCATATACCATATACAAAGCAACTTGAAGACCATGTATCGGGGCAAAGGCGTCGTTTCATTATTTATGAGAGCGGCCGAAGCTTACAGTATTGAAAAATGTAATAGGTACATGGTTGAAATATGAAGCAAATCATTCACGGTATGGGACTATCTAACGAAAATGGGGATTGAACATTGGGCGCATTCATATTTTTCAAGACGTCGATACAACATGATGACGTCAAACAACGCGGAGTCTCTCAATCATTATTTAAGAGGGACCGAGAGTTACCCATTCTCGCACTGATTGAGAATATCCGTACGAAGCTGCAGCAGTAATTTCACAATCGACGTGCGGAATCACATAATTGCACAAGTGTGTTAGCCCCAGCACAAGAGGTAAAGCTCTCCAAAGCTGCAGAGGCTGCGAGAAAGTTAAATGTCGAACCACTAGACGAGTCGTGCTTCTCTGTGGAATGTGCATGTCATACGGCATAATGGTATATTTAAGTGATGAAACATGCATTTGTAAACAATTTCAATTAAAGAGTTTTCCATGTGAGCATGCAGTTGCGGTGGCTATGTATCCAAGATTTGCAACGAGAACATTGTGCTCTCCTTATTACACTGCTGAAAATTGGAGAGCTGCGTATGTTGAAATCATATTTTCCCTTCCAAACAAAGCTGGGTAGGAAGTTCCCGATCATATTCGCCCATTCAATACATTGTCGCCACCTCTCATTGAACCACGTGGTCCTGGACGTCCAAATACTTCTAAAATACCATCTACTGGAGAGTTTTCCCGACCGCGTAGGTGTAGCAGGTGCAAATCAGTAAGACGTACTCGTCAATTTTGTACAAGTCAGGTTCCCCTAAATGACAGTTAGGGCATTGTGTATTTCTACTGAAATGAAAAGTATTTACATTGAAATAAATAATATTTATATTGAAATGAATAGAATTTACATTGAAATAAACAATATTTACATGAATAATCACAAAAAATAATTACAAATATTGAAGTACAAAAAATATTTACAAATAATTTATGGATCATAATTAAATTTGTATAAATCACACGCTAACTTATTTCGCCAATTCTGTATTCATGACTGGTTGATTCCATCAACCTTATGTGCTATACTCAAAAATTCTATATATTTGATTGCGAAAATCCCACAGTCACCCCTGCAAATGAACAAATATGTGTTAGTTCGATTCCAATTACGTACGAACTGATTACTAAATCAAAAAAAAAAATTACAAAGACTTACGATATACAATGTCTCATCGTTGTCGTGTCCCGCACGATGGCTAGTCTGTCATCCACAGTCAAGCTCGCATGTCTAGCCATCATAGGAACGATCACAGTTATCGACTCTACGATCTGCTCAAGCTGTCCCTTTGTCAGACATGAATGATCGGGATCGTACACATATCGTCAAATCAGGGAACACGATCTCCAGTTCAATGCAGTGCTGATTCGCGATAATTGGAATGTACAAATGCGTACAACCTTCCCATGGCTTTCCCCCAACACTCGGTGACAGCTCGATGACCCACTCGAACATATAAGCGGGAAGCACGTATTCGTTACCTAGAAGTTGGAGGGACTGATACTCAATGGTAACGGCACGGAAGAACTCGGTGTTCAGTATAATGCGACCAGGCTTGTAGAATGATTGTGGATATCTCTCAACTCGCGATCGCGCAACAAGTCCATGACCATGTCGATGTGCTACATCAAGGAAAACAAAGACATAAATACTTATTTCATTTATCAAATTAAACATAACGTATATGAAAAGTAATAATAACACTTCACTTACATCGTCGACGAGATAAGCCCCCTGAGTGGTGATATCATGAAACCATTTGTATGCGTCCAATATCGTCCTTCCGGCTATCATGTGCGTGGCTCTGAAAATAAAATAGAAAAAACATTAAACGAAGCATACACGAGTAATTCTAGTCTACTAAATCATACAATACTTACCCGGGCAATATTCTTCGCCACTCAGCCTCAAATGCTTTCCACTTCGCATGGTCGACCTCCCGGAACAGATTGAAGTACGTCCCATCGACGAACCTCCTCCTCTTAGCCTCAGCCGTGAAGGGAGAGACGACGTACTGTGACGACACTCTCGACCTCTTGTCGACCACCGTCTCCGGCATGTCAACAGCATACTTTTTTACCTTATACACTGCCACCTCCTCCACCCTAGGGCTCGCCACCTCCTCCATCCCTTCATCTGCCATGGTCTCCGACGGGATGGTCTCCGACGGGGCCACTCCCTCATCTGCCACCCAACATCTGCATCCGTCTCCGTCCCCGACGGAGCCACTCCTACATCTGCCACTGTCTCCGTCCTCGACGGGAACACTCCCTCATCTGCCTCCGTCTCCCTCCCCGACGGGCCCCCCTCCTCGGTCACTACTCCCGTCACATCGTGCTCCATGGATAAAATAAATAATTTCCATGCATCATCATCATGTATGTATGACTGCCGGAGACCCCCATCTCTATCACCCCCATCCCTCTCACCCCCTCGATCACCCCCTCGATCACCGTCTCCGTCAACCCATCGCCTACCGACTATATCACCCTAAAGTGCTGCAATCTCATTCGACAAACCTTCGACCCTTCCTACCAACTGTTGTCCCAGATCATCAACCCTCTCTATCATCTCTCGACGCAGCCCGTCGACCTACCCCTCTATAAATCTGCTCAGACGGGCGTACAGATCATCAAAATAGTGCCCCTGACTACTTGCGGGAAATCCACATGAAAGGTCTCTGGACGGGGGAGGCGGAGGAGATGCCCTCGACAGAGGTGGTGATGCCCTCGACGGAGGTGATCGTCGATCAACTGGATCACGGTCCTACACAAGCAACAACATTACAAATTATTAACTTCATCCGTAAATGCTAACTCATACAAAACGGTAATCAATAGATTTTATTTAATTCGCTCACCCAATCTCGGTCGTGGATCGGATCGGACATATGGTCGTATTCGGTGTGCGAAACGCCTAATTCACGCACAAGACCCTGAGCCTCCTCCTCCATCGACGACGTCAACTCAGTTATGACTTCAAGCTGGCATATTAACATTTGAACTAGTTAACGATCATGCAATCAGATGTTAAATCACGCACAATATAAATTACAAATGCATAATACTCACCTGAAGGTCGTTCAGGATAGCCGATAACTGTTTCCAGTAGGACATTCCTCCGATCGAGATGCTCTCCAATGGTGCATCTGAGGGCAGCATGTCTCCTCTCGCCTCGCAAATCGAGCACCCAATATGGAGACAGCCTCATACGTCCAGATCTGCAACACATCCAGCTATTATATATAAATTCAACATGAAAATAATTTTAACATTCATTATGTTAAACATTTACCTGCATCACCAGGGGCAATCCATAGGTGTCGTACTTACGCATGGCTCCCTTCGGCTTCGAGTGCGATCTGGTGAAGGCGTGTACAGTGTCCTCAAAACATCTCCGATCCCACGGATAGTCGTTGAAACGATCGATGTCGTCAACGATCTCCAGATGGAAGAGGTCGATCGCAGTCTTCTTATGGTGACATTGCACCACGCTCTCAAGGATGTAGATCAGACCTAACTTCAGACTGTCTAACATCTGATCACATCTCCTGATTGCGTCCAACAGTTGTGTAAGGAGCACAGTACCCTGTCCCTCGAAGTAAGCGTCATGAAGCATATTTCTTCTCTGAGTCCCATCACCAGCTGCTTCATCGCCAGTAATCTTTAATCCCGTGATCAGAGCAAACTCGAACATCGAAAAACTGGCGATTTTACCCCCGATTGCGAAGTGGAGGGCATCGCTATCGACTGGACTCAGCAATCGACATAGAAGTGCATCAATAATCTGACCCGAGTACTACAGATCTCTCAACAAGTACAAGGGTCACAGGAAGGACTGGCGCAGCATATCAACATGTTGATCATCAGACAGCTCTAACACAGCTGTGAAACAATCAAAGCTACTATTCCACGTAACTTTGCCTGACATCTATCTCAACTCTGCGTCAAGATGATAATCCATCCTGTACAAATTCAAAATGTTATAACATTGTACAAGTCATAATAGTAATAAAAGAAAATTTAGCGAACGAAATTGTAACTACAATACGCAAAACGCAGATTCATAATAATTAAAATCATCAATAATGTGAATTTTTTTATCATATTATCAATAATGTCAATTTTTCTCAATTATCACAATTTTTTTAATCAATTCAAGCTCAAAAAATATTTAAATTCGATGAATGAAGATAATATTATTTATCAAAAATTAATAATAAAAATAAAAATAAATATTAAATTTCAAATTAAATTTCCAACAATCATTTCAAATTACAATTAAAAATTTTTCAACAATTATTTCAAATTATTATTTACCAAAAATGAAAAAATAAAAATAAATATTAAAATAAATATTAAATGTAAAAATTTTATTTAAATTTAATCGTAACAATTTTATTTAAATTCGACAAACTAAATAACTTATTATTTATTAAAACCAAATAAAAAAAAATCAAAATTAAATTATTAAATTATTTGTGAAAAAAAAATGGGCCAAAGAAAAAACAAAAAAAAATTAACAGTCGACCCAAACCTTTGGACGACTGCTTAACAATCGGCCCACACCGACTGCACAGTCGGCCCAATACCGTTGTTACCCCACTGTTAACAGTCGGGTTCTAGCCAAAATGGCCGGCTGCTCTTCTTCACGCTTTCCCACCGAAAAATCACCATTTCCGACGAGAAAAGTTTCTAAATTCAAGCAACCAATATTTTTTTACACTGTATAAACCCTATTTTACTAATATAAACAAAAAAATATTGAAAAAATCTCCAAAATCTAAAAATTAAACCAACCATAACTTACCTTAACAAGACTTCGCCGGCGATAGATCAACCTTTCTCCGATCAGTTTTGTGAAAGTCGGTTTTGTGATTTTCAGTTTTCTGAGAGTCGATTTTGTGAGGGGTATTTTGGGATTTTAAGATTTAAATTAGATATTTTTTTTATTTTTTTTTAATTAAAAAAAGGGGTCAAAGGTTACTTAGGAAATAGCATCGGGTTATCCGGTCATTTCCTATAATTTCCTCCTAAATTACTTGACGAAATGTAAGGCAGGCTGTCAATACCACTCTTGAAACTGGACAGTAATAACGCGAGCTAACGGGGATATTTGGAAAGCTAACTGTATATGTCATCTTCATCAGCTCCACCAGCAGAAGCAGCAAAAGGGTCGGATCCAGAAGTCCTGGCTCCTGATTCTGCAAACCAGAATTCAGTTCCAAATCCACGGGACTGCTGCAAGGTTTGAGCAAATGCCTGGTATTTTCATATGTCAGCATCACTCACACTTCTACGAGCAAACTTCATGGACTCAAAATGTGCAGGCTTTATCTCAGACACTTCATCATCGATGTCCTCATCCATGGAATCTGGATTATCCGTTCTCTTCCTCTCCCTTTCAATATCCTGAAATAAGGACAAATGTTACCAATGACCTCAAGCACCCACAATATTAAAAGAGACTAGTTATACATTAAATCCATACAAGCAAACGAACAATCAACAATATCAGAAATGGTGGTAAAAATTATAGTAAAATAAATAACATGAACTGGAGTTGCCAAGCCGAAAATAAATCCAAGGCCTTGTGCGACCTCAACCAGAGCTAAATCTATTGTACTTGTTTCAGAATAGGTCAGAACTATGTTAAATATTTTCGGTTTAAGATTTTGACGACAGCTCAACTTGCTTGAAAGATAGTACCTTTGACATGCAAAAGTCAGAAATTCTAGAAAAACATTAAGTTTAGAGTCAGTAAAAAGGTAAAGAAATTAACATTACTCTCCAGTTATTAACCAAACTAGCAACAGAAGATGAGGAGCCAACACAGTAACACTGAACTTCCAAACGAACTTCCAGCTTCTTACAAGAATCTAACGCACTAACACATGAAATAAGGGGATGACAAGAAAATGGCATTTTAATTCATGTACAAAGTATTCTGACAACAAAGCCGTGTTACTGAGAGAGTTTACTGAAGGGTGAAAAAGGTACAGGAAACAGAAACATCACATTAACATGATTTAGAAACTCAGGGATTAAGTCTGCAAGCACATAAAAATAAATTATAGTAGGAGAGAGTCATACTTTCTCAATATTCTCTCTTATTGCATATTTGCAAGCCCGTTGGCATATCTCTGTGATATCAGCCCCACTAAATCCTTGAGTATATTTGGCGAGAGCTCTCAGATCAATGTCTTTCGAAAGTGGTGATTTTCGGAGGCAAGCCTTAAAAATTTGAAGGCGTGATTCTTCATCTGGCTGAGGGATATAAATTAATTGATCAAGAACGCAGAAGTGCAGGGTCAATTATGTCAGGTCTATTAGTAGCCCCAATTATGAAAACAGTTTTTTTCGTATTCATTCCATCCATTTCAGTCAGAATTTGATTGAGAACCCGATCAGCAGCTCCACCAGCATCTCCAACGCTACTTCCCCTCTGTGATAATACCAAGATGGGTAGCCTGTTAGCTGTCAATTGCATGTGAGTAGTACAAAGAAAGCTCATTGAAGGCTCTTCCCATTAATATTTGATACCATATCAGGCCAACCAGCATTTGGCTAGAAAATTTAAAGACGATTTTTGCCATTTTTGCCTTTACATTATACTGATTCAGTTTAGTCTAATTTATGTTTTTAAATATGTTCAAATTAACTCTCTGGTATGCAAATATATATATTCTGCTATTTCACATAATTATCTCATGCCAAAACCAACAAAGCTTGTTTAAAAACAACCTGAGTAGCAATAGAGTCGAGCTCATCAAAAAAGAGGATACAAGGTGCAGATTGTCTAGCTTTATCAAAAATTTCGCGGACATTGGCTTCACTCTCTCCAAACCACATTGTGAGTAGTTCAGGTCCTTTAACACTAATGAAATTGGCTTGGCACTCATTTGCAATTGCCTTTGCCAGTAGAGTTTTCCCACATCCAGGAGGGCCATAAAAAAGAACACCTTTTGAAGGTGACATACCAAACTTCTCGAACTTCTCTGGATGTTCCACTGGATATTGAACAGTCTATAAACAAGAAGTTAGAAATAATGAGCATTGAGGTACATTCCAGAGTATAGGGAACACAAAAGCTCAAACAAAATACATCTACTTCAATTACCTCCTGAAGCTCCCGCTTCACATTTTCAAGACCTCCAATGTCATCCCAGCTGACATTAGGCACCTCAACAACCTGCTTGTCAATATAATAAGCATCAACAAACATAAAGAGGCAAGTATAGCATAACGGTGTATCAAGCAAGATATATAGAAAACAAAATCCACTTACAGTCTCCCGCAAAGCAGATGGGTTGCTTGTTCCAAGAGCAGTCTGGAAGTGCTCATTGGTAACAGCCATGAAGTTTAGCATCTCAGCATCAATAGAGTCATCTTCCAAATCAATGACATCCATTTTTTCTCTGATACACTGGAGTGCAGCTTCAGTGCACAGAGCAGCAAGGTCAGCGCCAACATAGCCATGAGTATCTTTTGCTATTCTTTCCAAATCAACCTGCACCATAGGAATATATTATTATTCAATAATGTTGTCATTCATTCCATGAAATTGAATCAAAAGCAAGATGTAGGCTTACTTCATCAGAAAGCTTCATGTTCTTAGTATGAATACGAAGAACTTCCAAGCGCCCAACTTCATCAGGAACGCCAATATCGATTTCCCTGTCAAAACGACCAAACCTTCTAAGAGCTGGATCAATGCTATTTGGACGATTTGTTGCTCCCATAACAATAACATGGGCTCGTGATTTTAGTCCATCCTTGAGAGTCAAGAGTTGAGAAACAATCCTCCTTTCAACTTCACCGTTTGTCTTCTCTCGCTTGGGCGCAATTGAATCAATTTCATCAATAAATATAATAGATGGAGCATTCTTCTCCGCCTCCTCAAAAGCCTTCCTAAGATTGCTTTCACTCTCTCCAGCCAATTTGGACATAATCTCGGGACCATTTATTAAAAAGAAGAAAGCGCCTGTTTCGTTAGCAACAGCTCTAGCTATTAAGGTCTTTCCAGATCCTGGGGGGCTGTAGAGTAAAATTCCTTTTGGAGGTTTCACACCAATAGATTTGAAAAGCTGTGGATGCCTCAAAGGTAACTCAACCAATTCATGAATCTGAGCCATTTGTTTCCTGACACCACCTACATCGTCATAGCCAACCTCATCCAGCCGATCCTCATCTTCCCTCCTTACAGGCTCCCCTTCACAGAAGATCTCTGTGTCTGGGGCAACAACACAATACTCCCCAGGGATCCGTTTCAATGACCTTAAACTCCAAACTTCTCATGCCTCCTCTCACAAGAAAATGATCTCCTTTCCTCAAAGGACGATACGCCTCCAAAAAGTAAGCTGCAACCAAATTTTCATGATCGAAGTAAATAATATAATTATTTATTGAAACAAGATTTACATTTTAGAAAATGGGTTAAATGATGTCCAGAAAGACTTACTTTACTGTTTACAAACTATAATCAATTATCAAATGCATACAAAAACATATTCATACGCAGATGTGCAAACAAAATCAGACATCAACAATAACAAGTAACATCTAATAACATGAGATGGAAATACGACATGGCCGATTCTAACCTCTTTAAAACCTAGAAAATATGATCTCACCAAGAAATAAATGAAGCTCAAGGAAGAATTATAAAAATGTTTGAACAAAGATGGTTGTTTGCCACAAAAGAACTCTCCGTGTAATATGCCACGTAGGAAGAATGAGCATCAGATATGTCCAATCAACTCACTATGAGTCATTTGCACATGTCCACGCATCAGAGAACCGAAACCACCTAACAAGAGAAGAATTTTTTCAGTAATAATGGATGTTATAATCAAAACCATGGTTTAAAAAGGTGTTTGAGATGCGCGTTTCAATTTGAGGCGTAAGTAATATGTCTCAAGGCGGTTTTGTGAATGCGTACACATCAAATAATGAGATGCATGCCTCACGAGTGTTTTTAGATATACATAAAGTGACGTTTGTAAGTGGGCCCACCATTTCTTTATGATTGTTCGATTTGTTTCTGATGTCCACCGGCAG